GTCGTCGTAGTAGTAGTAGCACTAGTAGTAGCAGCAGCAGCAGCAGTAGTGGCGGTAGTAGTTGTGGTGATGTTAGTATGCCGCTGACAGCGTTTCTTTCGGCATATCCGGTATGGTCCGACTGCTGAGTGCTGTGCCTTCTCGACCTCAGGCATGGCCGGGTTTGGTTCAAGATCGCCTTGCTGCATGTGATCTGCAACGGTTGTGCCGCACTTGTTCTTGGGACTCTGGTGGTGCTGTTCACATCCATACCAATCGCTTCTCTGCAGCAGACATAGTATTCACTTATGCATTCATTCCTTTACAGTCTTTCAGTTCGTGAGAGACCCGATCGATAACTTCTGTACGGAAGCGATCTAAGTAGGCGGCTAAAGCAAGCAGGCAGGCAGGCAAGCAGGCAAGCAAACAAGCAAGCCAGCCAGCCAGCCAGCCAGCCAGCCAGCAAGCAAGCAATCAAGCAAGCCAGCGAGCAAGCAAGCAAGCAAGCAAGCAATCAGGCAGGCAAGCCAGCATGCAAGCAAGCAAGCCAGCAAGCCAGCGAGCAAGCAAGCAAGCAAGCAAGCAAGCAAGCAAGCATCTGTGCGTCTCAGCAAGCACACAGGTAGTTATGCTTGTCGGTATTTGCCCATGTACATATGTTTTCATTCACGTATTCTTGTACCTGCCTCATCCACATTTGTAGTGCTCAACACAACGATGCCCAGTACTTGGCGAGGTAAAGCTGGGTTTATCTATTCAGTGGGCTCTCTTGGCTGGCTTGATCACTTCTTGCCTTGGCCTGGTGCTGTGGCGCTCCTCTCGGTCTCTTGCCGTGGATTCCGTCCAACAGCTTGTGATGTTCTCGGCACCCCACTAAACCCTAACCCTTGGTTCGCCCTAGATCCTAAACCCTTAACCCCTGGGTCCTCAACCCCAAACCCTGGATTCGCCCAAGATCCGAAACCCTAAGCCCGAAATCCTTGATTTGCCAGATCCTAAGCCCTAAACCCTAAACCCTGGATTCGCCCAACCCTTGATTCGCCCTAGAGCCTAAACCCTAAACCCTAAACCCTTGATTAGCTCTAGATCTTCAACACCTAAACCATAATTTTTGTGCGGGGTGAAACTTGGGATTTGGACCTCAGCTCAGGCTTTATCATGCAGATTTTAAAGAGGGTCTAGGGTTTGGGATTTGGGAGTCTAGGGTGACCCTAAACCCTAAAATCTAAAAGCTGTGTTCTGTTTGGGCTCAGGGGTGCATGTTTCTGAAGCCCTTTGCGCGAGCTCTTGGAGAGCTGCAGGAATCGGGTCTAGGGAGCACGAAGTGGGGTTGGCTGGAGACGATGTTACAGGTTTAGGGTTTAGGGTCAAGGTTTCATCGAATCTTAGTTCAGAATAAAAGTTAAATCCCACCGCAGACAAGGTACGAGAGCGCAGGAGGCCACGAACGCGGGTCACACCTCCATGTTCCCTGCACTCCCCCAAAATAACAATGCAATTATCAGTGCCGCTTCATAAAGCCGATATGAAACGCTCCATAGAACTCTATGAAGAAACAGAACACACACACACAACCCATAAAGGTTCTGAAGGCACCCAGTCTAATGACTACGGCCCCTGTATTGCCGGGGGGAGGGCTTCGAAATGGCTTTATTCGGGCTTAGGATATAGGGGTTTAGGGTTTAGGGTAATATGGGTGTTGCAATGTGTTGGAGGGAATTTATAAGGCCCAGCCGAGCCTAGCCAAGCCTGGCCCAGCCACAACAGAGGCTTGAACCATTGCTACCAACATCCCTTCAAACTCAACTTATGCCGAAACCCTATTCAAAATCAACCCTAAACCCTAAACCCTAAACCCTAAGCCCTAAACCCCAAACCGCTAAACCCTGAAACCTAAACCCTAAACCCAAGGAAGATCTTCTTTGACAAGATCTGCATCGCACAGAATGATCCCAAGCTCCAGGTGGAGGGTGTGGTCAATGTGGGTGCCACCGAAGCTTGGCTTAGGGATCTTCTACTCTGGTGTGAACCATAGTCTACAGCACCCGCAGAAACTGAGGGTTTAGGGTTTAGGGTTTCGCTTCCAGAAAAGTCCCGATATCATGAAAGCATTTTGCTTTAGGCCCCTATGTTGCGCCCAAAGCCGGTTAAACAAGCCCGGAAGCAAGAAGTCTAATATAGGTGCCTAAATAACTACTAATACTATTGTGGCGAGTTCCTTATTATAGTTATAGCAAAATCTACCCCAAAACCCTGTTTAGATGATTAAGGCCCCTGCATTGCACCTAAACCCTGAACCCTAAACCCCAAAACCCTAAACCCTAATTAAACCCTAAACCCTAAACCCCAAACCCTAAACCCTAAAGCCTACTCTAGTTCTTAAGGCCCCCCTACGTTTATGCATGTCACGGTGGCGGAGGTGAAGAGCTCGAAGTCGATGCTCGTCTGTTGGGATCCCACTTACCTGAGCCGCCTCTTGACCACATTTTGGCTTTAGAGTTTAGGGTTTGTGGTTTCGGGTTTAGGGTTCAGGGTTAAGGGCTTAGGGCTTCGGGTTTGGGATTTCGGTATGAAGGGTTAAGGCTTAGGGTTTAGGGTTTATGGTCTGGGGATTGCTTCTCCCTCTCTCCCTCTCTCTCTCCCTGTGTATCTCTCCGTCGCTCTCTGTGCCCTGCGCCCTAAACTGCGTTGTGTGACCGTGACAGCTATGTTTTATGAACACTATCAGCACGGAGGTGCGTACCTCACGAGGATTTTCTCAGAGTTGCATCACTACTCGGGCTGCTGGGCCATGGTTCTTGAATCAAATCACTGAAGGATGGGCTGATCGTTGCCTGACAGATTCTGTGGATTGCTCTGAAACCCTAAGGGTCCATGTGCCCAAATAGTGTATACTTTGGCCTTAAAGTAGTCCCTATATAGTACAGGTACTTTGGGGCCAAAGTATATGCTATTTGAGTACATGGACCTTTAGGGAAAGTAAGTCGGATTTGGCTGCCTGTGTGCTTGCACCCCTCCGTCCTCTGCTGCCTGTCCCCTGCTATGTGGCGGCCTTCATCGTTAACAGTTGTCTCCTGTCGTCGCTTCCGTCCCAGTCATGCAGGGCCCAAGTCCCTCTCACTGTCTTTCACTCTCTCTTAGTTGTCTCCGTTTGATGTTTCGACTCTCCCTCTCTCTCTGTGTTTCACCCTGTCTGTCCTTCTGTCTCCCTCCCTGCTTGTCTGCTTGTCTGTCGGTCAGTCGCTCCGTGTGTCTCTCTTTATCTCCCTCTGTCTGTCTCACTCTTTGCCTCTATGCTCCTCCACGGGCGCTCGCTCTCACTCTGTCGGTCTCTTTTGCCGTCTCTCTGTTACCCTCTACTTCACGCTCAGTCTTGTGTGCGTTATCAAGATACCTGAACACTGGGCCATGAACGAGGAGATGTCGGGCTGTCTCGATACATGTCTGGACTTGTTTTGGAAGCCCGGCAAATCTCATGCGCCTGATGGTGTAGGCTGAATGCTATTGGGGTGGTTGCATAGAGATACCCTGATTGTGACGGCGACTATCTCTCATATTTCCTCAAGACGAACGAATGACGAAACACGCTAGCAATGCAATGATAACAGCAATGACCGAGACGAGCAACAGCAGCAACTACTTTGATAACTTGATGACAATCGGTAGCATGCACCTTTTTCGGCTGAGCCATCCTCGCCTTCTTCATGACACCATGATTCCGAGATCTATCATCATGAGAAGAATTCCCCACAGGCCCATATATTCCAAACCTAGGGGAACCACACCTATCTGACAACCCTAAACCCTAAACCCTAAACTAAGCCACTAACCCCCAAGGCCTGTGGTGCGTTCTGGAAGTGGCCGCCTTTCTGAAAACCCATGAGAATGCGGCAGAGCTCATCATCCGGCCTACTAGCTGGGGCCCTCTGGCAATCGTTCTGCGCCATGGACTGACTTAAGGCTTTTAAGGGCCCAGTTTAGGGTTTAGGGTTTCGGGCGGATGGTTAGAGGGGGGGTAGGGGGTCACCCCTCCTCCTCCCCCCGTAAGGGTCCCTACGGTTGATGATATACATCCCGCATTACCCATAATAAGGAATATACCATAACTCCCATAGTTTAGGGTCCTTAAGGTAATGCAGGAGTTGTATCATCAACCCTATGATTGGGGTTTATGGGGTCCCTAAACCCGAAACCCGGAACCCTAAACCCTATGAATGATTGAGGGCTTATACGGTCCAGGCTTTCGGGCTTCGTACGCCTCAGACTGCCGAGCTTCGGGGTTTAGGGCCTGGGGAGGTCGTCGTTACATTGACCTTTGGCTAGTTCTCTAAAGTAGGGTCCCTTCTTGGGTCCCCAATATAGTGCGGCAGCATTATAAAAAGGACCCCAAAAGGGACCCTATTTTAGAGAACCTCCCATACGGCTAGTTCTCTAAAGTAGGGTCCCTTTTTGGGGGTTCCCTTAAAGGGATCTATAAGGGTGTCTATAGGGTTTTCATCAGGGTAGCTAGAAGGGTTCCAACGGGGCAGTTCAAAAGGGTTCTAGATGGGTAGTTCTCTAAATCAGGGTCACTGTTAGGGTCCTTATTGCAAGGGTGCCGCGCACTACTTTGGGGAGCTAGAAGGGCTTTTAAAAAGGGAACTACCCACAAATGGAGCGCAAGACTATTTTCTATAGCCAGTAGTCGTTCCACAGCAGCCGATGGGCCCCGAGAATCATGCATTCAACAGCCTGAGTCCTGTGCGTCTCCGACGGGCATGTAACGTTCACATTCTCGGCTTGTTGGACAAACACCTATGGTCAAGGCTTCTACACCCTAAACCCTAAACCCTAAGCCCTAAACCCTAAACCCTAAGCCCCAACCCCCCCCCCCCACCCGCTCCGGGATAGTTTAGGCTCCTAAACTCCGAACCTCGATTTTTTTTTCCGAGGTTCAGCACATTCTGGGCCTGGAGTGGAGTTTCTCAGTGGACTGCGCTCCCTGGTCTTCACAGCAGCTGAGGGGGTTTAGGGGTCTAGGGGTTTAGGGGTTTAGGGGATTAGGGGTTGAGGGTTGAGGGGTTTAGGGGTTTAGGGTCAACAAAAATCATGCAGGATCAACGCGCGTCTTGAAGCCAGTTGTAGGAGATGCGCTACAGCCTAAGCCCCAAGCCCATCCGTAAAGGAGAAGCCCGGATCCTAACTCCTAAGCCCTGCGGTCTTGAAAAACTCAGACCCGAAGCCCCAATACCAGGCAGACGGAACAGGGCCCGACAGAAACAACACAATCAAAAGCCTAAACCCTAAACGCTAGATCCTAAATCCTAAACCCTAAATCCTAAACCCCGAAACCCTCTTTGAATTTAGGAGTGCGTCCGACGGACACTCGCAACGACAGGAAAAACAACCAAACCTAAACCTTAAACCCTAAACCCTAAACGCACTGCAAAGAAGCCATCAGAAGCAATTCAAAGGAGCCTGGTCCTGGGCTACGTGGACATGGAGCAAGTGGGGCCCATCACGGTGGCCTTGATTTACGCCGCAGTTAACGTCGGAGACTGAGGGTGGGGTTTTGGGTTGTAGTGTTTTTGGGTTTAGGGTTTTAGGGTTTAGGGTTTTAGGTTTTAGGGAGCCCTTAATCTTAAGCCCCATACTAAACCCAAAGGCCCAAAGCCCAAAACTTATCCCCAAGCCCCAAAAGCCTTAAACCCTAAAGCCTAGAGCCTAAACCCTAAACCCCAGCTTTAGGCGGTCAACCACATGCTCTTCATGCCCTGGATCGCCCACTTCTGGCGCAGCCACCTGCGGGATTTGGAGCAGGCACCAGCGGTAAAGAGTTGAGGGTTCTAGGGGTTCAGGGTTTATTTAGGGCTCTAGGGTTTTAGGGTTTAGGGTTCTAGGGGTTCAGGGGTTTATTTAGGGCTCTAGGGTTTTAAGGTTTTTAGGGTCTAGGTAGTAGGGGCCGTAATAGTGAGAATAGGCTTTTGGGGAAAATTATCATACTATAACTTGAATAAGCAACCCCCGAAATATATGAGTGTTTGCCGTAACGGGAAGTGCGTAACCCGAACCCGTAGCAGGAATGGGGACCGATCCCGTAACAGGAACAGTTCCTGTTACGCTCCCTGTGTGGTTCCTGTTTGTACTAGCCCTCGTTCCCGTTACGACCCCAGAAATGGTTTCCGTCACTCCCTGTTGTTACTCCCCTAAACCCTAAACCCTAAACCCTATAGGTACTTGTTAAGGCCCCTATATTAGGGTTTAGGGTTTTGGGTTTTGGATCGAAGGTTGAGGGCGTAGGCCATAAATAGCAAGTTGTTCCTTTTGGGTTCCTTGTTCTTCGTATCCTGTACTATACTATACTATACTATACTATACTATGCTATACTGCCACCGTAACAAACCAAAACCTACTTTTTAAAGGGTCCCTATACATTCCATAGTAGGGTTTATTTATAAAAGGATCTGCAAAAAGGTAGGTTCTGGTAGGTTAAGGTTCCCTCCAAAAGCCTATCCTACTCATCAGGGCATTAGGGCCCTTGTAGTAAACCCAGTGGTGCGGAGACTTGAGGCCCCTCACCACCCGAATCCCCGAAACGTCCGAACGCCCAGAGGAATTGCCTAGAAAGAGCACCCATGCATGTAGGGTTTAGCTCGTAAGGTCTAGGGTAAAGCCACCCAAGCCCGCTGTAAACCCTCAGCCCTAAACCCTAAACCTTAAGCATTAAGCTCTGAGCCAACAAAAACCGGCTGTCCCGGCCCTAAGTCCACGAAGGCTTGCACTCAGCTCTCGGATTTCCGCTTCGACCGGGACGTAAGTTGCTACTGCTGCGCCCCTCGGTCGGAGATATATGAGTAGATCTCTAAATTAGGGTCCCTTTTCGGGTCCTTTTTATAAGGGTGCCGTACTATGTTGACCTAAACAGGGACCCTAATTTGGAGAACTACCCATATATTAATAACATTGGTAGTAGCAGTAAGAATAAGAATGCTCATAATAATCTGGGTCTTCATTATAACATACGGTTACCATACAAGATTCTACTGCAAGCCTTACTCCAGGGAATAAGGTCCCCATGTTAGCTTCGTTTACAGATTTCTTAGTAGGAGAAGGTATACTGTGGGTCCTTTAACTCAACTAGAAGATGCACCCCACCCCTTTTCGACATATTGAGGCAGCTTTTTGAGCTTCATTTGCAGAGGCCTTAGTAGTAGGAGTCCGATAAGAATATACCCTAAAGATCCTAATATTGAGATCTCCCTGAAGTCAGGTGTATGTCTTAGCTAAGGGGTACTCGGCTCTCTGGAAGGGCGCAGGTCGAAGCTAAGCGCTCTGGTTTGAAAAGTCAGAGGAGCACTGGGAAGATGAGAACCCCACGGCCCTAAACCCCAAAATAAGCCCTGACGCTAAACCCTGAGACAGGAGCGTAGATTGCAAGGCAATGCTGAATTTTCCCCAGACGTTTTCGGTTGAGGCACCATGGTGCTGAAGTTTCGAGTTGATTCGGTTCCAGCTTGCGTTTAGGGTTGAGGGTTTAGGGTTTCGGTAAGAGGAGGTCGAGGTTTGAGCTTTTCGGTTACGGGCTGTTGAAAGTTTGGGGTTTAGGGTTTAGGGCTTTCTGTGCGTTGTCATAGGAGCCTCTCGGAGCCTTTTCATCAAGAGACGGCGAGTTTGCTGTTCGCCTGAGGCCATTGGCCACGTCAACCCAGTAACGGGCAAGGCGATGATTTGCGACCATGCGACCATAAGACACCTGGACCTAGTCGTCGAGGGTGTAAACTGCAACTTGTTTTTTCCCGGTTGCCTTGTCAACACCCGTTTGGCTGAAACCGCATGAGTTGAATTGGGCACTGAGCTGAGGAGAATGCCTCCACATTTGGTTTGGGTCTACCGCCGAGTTCGAGCAGGTCATTCGCGACAGGGTGGCGCCAACTTTCAAGCGGAGTTTTAGGAAGCACCCGTTGCCATACAAATGGATGCTGGGTTCTTGTTAGGGAACTGGGTTTAAGTTACCATTTTAAAGAAAGCTTAACCCCCTTCTTGTGGTAACGTAAACAAATATCCGCCACAAGAGCACCAAACGCGTAGAATACTGTAATGAGACACTGAAAAGCTCTATACACGCTGAAATGCCCAGGATTTTGGGAGCCACAGTCCCAACGCTCTGGATCAGCATGTGCAATGCCATGCAGGCAGCTCATGACGGGTCAGAATTCCTGGCCATGCAGACCCCTGGGGCATGTTTTGAATAAGCAGCGGTAGAGTTGTAGTGGGCTGATAGAAGTGAGTGGCTATACTCATAGTTATAGGTTGTAGTATGCTTATAGTCCTGTCACAGTCATGGTTGTAGTTACAACTACAGTTGCAAAAATGTAGTTCTGGTCCGAGTCCTAGTCGCATGGTTAGGATTATTGATATAGTTGCAGTCATAGTCCCAGGTATACTTACAAGTATAGTCGTAGTCATACTTACAGGTATTGGTTCAGATAAACCCTAAACCCTAGACCCTAAGCCCCAAACCCGAAACCCTAAACGGCGTAGTAGAGGAGAACAGAGCAGAGTAGCCATGGAGAAGCACGCAGAGCAGAGCTCAGAACAGAGCCGAGTAGAACAGAATAGAGCATGGTTTAGGGTTTAGGGCTTGGGGTTTAGCGTTTAGGTTTTAGGGTTTAGGGTTTGGGGTTTAGGGTTTAGGGAATAGGGTCAAACGCAACAAGGATTGTAGCCTTTGGCCCAGGATATTCGCCAACCTTTCGTTTTGGTTGGCTGGCTTTCCTGTTCTTCTTCACATCGAGCGACTCGAGCAAGGGATGGAGGGTCTGGCTTTAGGGTTTAGGGTTTCGGGTTTCGGGCTTCGGCTTTAGGATTTGGGGATTCGGGTCTAGGGCTTCGGCTTTAGGGTTTAGGGTTTCGGGTCTAGGGCTTCGGCTCTAGGGCTTAGGGTTTCGGGTTTGAGGTTTAGGGCAGCCAGTAGTACGCCGACCCGAAGTCTCGATCTTGACACCCCGGAACTCGCGCGCTTGCAGGCCTGCAGCGGCCTCCATGGCGAAGCGGTAGATCCTCACAATATAGGGGCCCTAGTAGTTAGAAAAGGGTTTGGGGGTATATTGTTGTTATGCTAATAAGGACCCCCCCCTATTCTGATTACTCAGGCCTCTACATTACTGCCAGCTCGGGCCGCGCAATGTCTCTAAAGCCTCAGCCCCTAGATCTCGCAGCCCCAAAGTCATGCCCAGCAAGTTGGAATGTGGCTATCGTCATGCCTCGGAGGTCAGTATGGATAGTCGCAGCACATATCATCCTCACTTCACGTTCCAGCTTGTTTGAGTTGCCCTAAGCCCTAAACAATAAAGCTACACCCCAACACCCCTAAACACCCCCAAACCCCCCTAAACACCACCAAACACCCCTAAACACCCCCAAACACCCCTAAGCACCCCCTAAACACCCCCAAACACCC